GAAAACGCGCAAATCCTATTAAGAATATGTAGGCACATATATGGATTTAATTAGTGTTATGAACATCTAATTGATGATTTTGGGACCACCTTAGGGACTAGTAAACACTTATAATGAAGTGTTTTAATCACATATGGTTGTATAAGGGTTTATAAGTCTATACAAGAGGGTTTATGGCCAAAATACACAATATATGTGTGTGTGCGGCCACGTGTGCAGCCTAGTGTGCTGCCAGCACATGTGTACGGCCAGGTGTGCTGCCAGGTGGTGTGTGTGCTGCCATATGAAGATCTTGGTGTTCTTGGTACCTTTTATGAAGATCTTCAAGGAGAATGGATGATACTTGGGAGGATTTTCGTCTTCTATGTTTGAAGAAGTGAAGGTAGTGTTCAAGAATGATCCAAGGGTGGTATATATATGTAGAGTGTGCGGTTGGGGAGGTGTGAGGCTGCAAACAACAGTGTGTGGCCGCAAACTCAAGTGAGTGGCCGCACACTCCATGTGTGTGGCCGCACACTCCATGTGTTGGAGTGTTTGGCCCGGTTTTGATTCCTACACTTCGAGTTAATCCTTTTTAACACTCCTACCTTGATTATATCATATTTAGAACGCTTCATTAGACTCTAAAGGGTACTACTATATAGTAAAATAAGTCTAAAATTGGAAAGGATTGAAGAGTGCACGCGAGAAGTTTTTCGGGTTGTCACAGAAGATGGAAGATGGATAATTGAATTGAAATTTACCAACCTATACGTGTTAAACCTAATAAAAAAATGTAAACATGGAAGATGGATAATTGAATTTCAATTTACAAACTAGTTTAGCATTTTCATGTCGTCTAGTTGTTGTTTTGTATTGTTTCATGGTGTGTTCTTCGGTCTTTGGAACTACCTTCACCTCTTCAACTTCTTTTGGTTGATATATCTGGTTGAAAATAGATAAAAATATTAGCATTGTTGAGATATGTTTATGAAAGAGAAATTCAGAAAGATGGAAACCTTCCTCTGTTCACTAATGAGATAAGCAAACTTTTCAATATTTGGAACTGCAAGCAATTAGGGTATTAGATGGTTGAGGAAATGTCCAGGAGCAACTTTCACTGCTTCGTTTGCTTTCCCCATCTTGTCCATGGTCTGAGTTTAACAAAAAAATTCTTCAATTCATATTGAAGAGTAGTAAAGTTTATACATAATACATAGAGGTAGGAGGTTAATTTAGTAAGATGTACCCAACGCACGATGTTAGAAGTTTAGAACCAACTTAATATAATAAAATTGACTAAAATTAATGAATTGAAATAGTGTATATGGTTCTATAAAGTGATCGCTACCCTTACAATTAAGATATACACAATTAATTGCTGGAAAATGTGAGATTTTGTTACTATATATTGAGTCGATGCACCCAACGCACAAATGCTGTTCAAGTCGGCATTCCAAAACTTTAATCGGTGTTCCCAAACTTCAATCGACGATCCAAATCATCGTTCCTATGTTCCAGATACACGAATAAAGGTAAGGTCGGTTCAATCTTAAAATCGTTGGATCATTCAAGATGTGTTCCCAAGCGTTTGGTATGAAATCGTATCCCATATCCAGTACACGTTCTTACTATGGTTCAATATAACCCTAGACCAACTTAAAGCTTAAATTAAAGGTATAAGTTAGAGATTTTCACACTTACGATAACAATTACGGAAATAAAGACGTTTGAGAGGGGGAAAATGGTGGAGAAAAGAGAATATTTGCCACTGTTGACCTCTGTATGGCTAGTGCTTGGGTGGTGCATGGCTGGTGCTGAGCTCTAAAAATATGAAATGGAGAAATATTGAAAGATAGATAGAAGATAGAAAAAACAAGGATGAAAGATAGATAGAAGAGAGATCTAAAGGAGAGATTATCAGAGAGGGGAGAGTGGATTGCAAGGATGAAAGATAGATAGAAGATAGAAAAAACAAGGCGAGTTTTCAAAATTTTGGGGATTTCGTTTCCCCCCTTGTCTACTAAAAGTGCGTTCCATTAAAATTATAAAGCGACAGGTACAGACGACGCGCGTTTAAGATAAAGCGCCCTCCGTGTTTTTAATTTTTTTTCTTGAGACACTAAATTAAGGGCACGCAACAATACGTGACGTAAATCCTTAATTTTTTTGGAGAGAAAACACTATTTTAAGGGCACGTCCTTTTGCGTATCATTAATCAGCGCGTGTCGTAAAAAGTGGGTCATTAAAGGTCTGTTTTCTAGTAGTGGTTATACCGTTTAAATATGTATTTTCTTAATGTAAACTAATTTATATTTGTTTTTAAATATGCAAACAAAATTATAATTTTCAAAAAGACTTTTAGTAGGATCAACGCTTTTGTTATATTCAAGATTTAAGAAGTCTAGTTTTTTGATGGATCAATGATTATTAAAATTCCTATCCATTAGCTAAATCTTATATTCCTTTAGTTCTTTATTAAGATTTTCTTATATCCCTTCACATAACATATATATATATATATATATATATATATATATATATATATATATATATATATATATATATATATATATATATAATCTTAGTGTTACAAAACCTTACAATTATACAACCCAAACAAGACTATAATATCTCCTTAAATTATATTAAAACATAAAACAATCCCATAATCTTCACCTGAGAGAGTTCTTGACATATAAAAATGGTCTTAAGCAAAGCATGCTGCATGAAAAAATCGAGCTTGTCTCAGTCTTTTAGATCATAGAACGTTCCATGCTCTGATACCAAATAAGGGGGTATGGCATTTTTTCCGGGTTTACCGTTAAACCATAAACACAATATAAACAAAAACTAAAATCAAGAAGAATAAACTTACAAGGAAGGCTATGAGAAGAGAAGCAACCAGAGTCGTATGTGCAGCAACAACTTCTTTCTTTCTTTTTTTTTTTTTTTTTTTTTTTTTTTTTTAATGTTAAGGGATATAGTATGAAGTGCTTGAAAGAACTAGAAATTTAAGAGATAGGCTAAGAGAATCGGAAAGAGAGTGTTTAGAGAGAAATGAGGGAAATAACAACAAAATATTATTATTCGTATGAATATTCGATGATTTTTACAATCGTTTACAATCCTTTATATAGGCAAAGGATAGCGTAATATTTACAATTAAAATATCGACAGACAAAACTTGACATTACATAAAGTAAGAAAAGACTACTCACCAAATAAAGTGATGACACATCTGTAAAGTAGGAAATAATAATTCTATACGACAACTATAATTTCATAAATGGCCCTTGAACTTGTTATGTCTTGTCTTTTTCACAAATAGCCCATAAATTTGTTCAAACTTATCACATTGTATCCTTTGGTGAAAAAACATCACTTGCTAAAAATCCCGATGAGTACTGTCAATAGAAACCGGTGATCCTGGTTCTGTGTAAACCTGTTCTTCATTGTTTATGATATCTTCTAGTCTCAATAATGTATCTCCTTCTCCGCTGAATGGCAAGAGCATACGCCAATTTTGATGAGACCAAATTTATAAGTAGTGTCCTTCTGCTAGGATTTTATAATTTTCCCAACGAAAGCTTGCAGGTAGTAAAGCTGTTTTTTGAGCTATGCATATATCTTCATTTGAAAGATTCTGTAGAGTCCCAAAATCTATTTCTTGTTTGCATGATAACCTTTTAAGATAGCCATGTTGTACTGTTCTTTGGGTAATGAAGATCCTTTTTCTAGCAGGTCTATATGTATGTTCATCCGCTGCTGGAAAAGAAGAAAACATTTTGCACCCAATAATTGGCCTGATGCTGTGAGAGGCGATGTTTCCGGCTGTTAAAATAATTTTTTTCTCCTAATTTATTAAGAAGACTTTCTGTGCTGCTATTGAGGCAGAATTCTAAGTAATCTATCATTCCATTATGATAAAAATTAATTATCTGTTCTTCTGGCATGTCTATAGTCTTTAGGTTTATCTGTAATAGGAGTATGGGAGTATCTTCACCTTCATCATTCAATCTTTGGATTACTGTAACTCCTTTATAATTAATTTCTTGAAAAGCAATATGTACAATCTTCTACTGTACTTTACATAGAATTGCTGGAAATTCTATACAAATTTTTTGAGACACCATTTGCTCAAATTCTTTGAACTCATCAATTACTAGTCTCAACGTTTGTCTCCAAGGGAGATCTAAAATGCAAGCTTTAAAACATTCATAATTTCTGTATATTGTTGTTTTTAATTTTTCGTCTTTTTTCTCATTCCTTTGTATAAGCTGTACATTTTTTGCTTCAAGAATTTTTATTTTTTGTATCAAAATATTTTTTTCAATCTGGGTTTGTATATGCTGTGTATCTTTTCCAGATTGGATAAGTTGTTGTTGTAATTTAGCAATTATTTCCTCCTAAGCTTTAATCATTTGCTCTGGACTAGTTTTTGCTATTTCTGAAAATGTTTTCACCTGTTCGGGTTCTATGAAAAAAGTTTTTAACCCAAAATGTTCCTGAGCAATATTCATAGCTTCTTGGAAGCTATAACATCCCTTCTAAAGGGGATTTTGACACTGTATATATTTTATGACTGTTGCCCAATTATTAAAAATCCCGACTTTAGTGCCCCTAATGACAACATAATGTGTAAATTTCTTTATTTGTTTTCCAGGAGACAATGGTGACTGTTTATGAAAGTAAAAACTTAAAGAATTGAGAATTTGAACTTTAAATGATGAAGCCTGTGGAACTACTTTGAATATGCCGTAAGTTGTCTAGCAAACATTGTTTGTCTTCTATCAAGTTTACCCCGATCATGGGCCTAAATTGTTTGCGTTCATCGAAGCAAATTGGTAAAGTGCAGTTACCAAATGCTATAACGGCTTCTCTGTTCTGTGTATATTGTGTATTTTTTGAAGGTCATGTCTATTAATATGCATGTTGAATATTTTGAGATTGTGGTCTACATCCTTGCAAAAGGTTATTATGTGTAATACTCGCTATTTCCTTATAAGGAATCGAGTTCGGTTGTGTGGATTTATGTAGATATTCTGCTTTTATTGTTGAATCCAATAAGTTTTCTCTTGATGTTATGTTTCTATCTTCTTCTGAAGAAACGCTCATGGAAGAGGAACTTCTTTTTTGTTGTGTAGGCTGTATTAATTTGTTCTTTCCTTTGTTTCGACACTCCGTCTGCAGAAAATAATCTGTTAATATTTCTGGATAGCATATCAGCTATTCCATTATTTTCTCCCTTTATATGTTCAAAATTTATTTTATATCCACTTCCTAGTATTGCATTTTGTAAATTAATCCATCGTGTCCTATTTATTTTCTTACTTTGATCATTTTTAATAAATCGAACTACACCTTCACAATCTGTTCTAACTGTAAATTCTTTATGTAAAAATATTTTAAATTTTTCTAAAGCATTTATTAAAGGTTGTATTTCATAGTCTTTAGAAGTCCAATTCACTCCTGTCTTATTAAAGCTTCCACAAGCATATGAGCATATTTTTTCTGTATGTTTTGGGCTATATTTATCGGATTTACAAAGGAGAATGGCTCCCCATCCTTCTTTGCATCCATCAACTTCTATTATTATGTAATCAATAACTAATGGTAATTCTAATGATTTAATATTTTTAACTGCTTCTTTAATTACTTTAACTAATTTAATATCTTCTTGGTTGAAATGTCTTTATCCATTTTTTGTTGTTTTACTATATAATTGTCCCACTAACTTTGAAAGATTAGGAATAAACTTCCGCGCATAATTAACCAATCCTAAAAAAATATTGTATTTGTTTTAGATTTTCAAACTTTTCTGGGAATTCTAAAATTTTTGTCGATATATGACTTTGTAATTCAATTTTTCCATTTCCTATTTCTAAACCAAGAAATGATATTTTGCTTTTAAACAATTCCATTTTTCTTTTAGAAATAACAATACCATTCCTTTTTATTTCTTCAAATATTTTCTGTAAATGCTTCGCATGTTCCTATACTGTTTCACTGACAACCAAAATATCATCAATATATACCAAACAAAAATCATATTTCAGAAAGATACTGTCCATAAACCATTGAAATATAGATGAAACATTTTCAAGCCCAAAGCTTAAAACATTTTATTCATATTGTCCTTTTAGAACATGTAAATGCTGTCCATGATTTAAAGTTTTCATCAAGCTGTAACTGATTGTATTCAGATTTAAAATCAAACTTGCTAAAAACTTTTTTCTTTTGTATCAAGTTTATTAAAGAGTCTTTATTAGGGATATTGTAACCATCATCTTTTGTATTATCATTTAGTCTTTTATAATTATAAATTATTCGAGCTTTTCCTCTTTTTATTTCAGAATGATTTCTTACTAAAAAAGCTGTTGATCTATGTGGACTTTTCGATTTTCGAATTAATCCTTGTTCTATCATTTTTGGTATTTGTTTTTTAAATTCTTCTTTATCTAAAGGACTATATTCTATATTTGTTGTTCTTATTGTAATATCAGGATTTTTTAATTGAAATTTACAAATATAGTTAACTTTTGATTTTGTAATATCTTCTCTTATAAGTCCAATTTTCTCTAAGTGTAAAATTATAGGATGATTCGTACTTTTGGTTATATCTTTTCCCTTTTCTAACTCACGTGTTCAAAATTTTGTTAATAGCTTAATTGTTTCATTTTCAATGTTTGTCTTAAGTTGATGATGTTTTAAAAAGTCTAGTTTACCTTGTCCACCACGCTTTTGCGCAAACTCAGATGTATTGGTATGTTTAAGTGTTGGAAAACTATATATATGTTTACTAAGTGTGATAAAATTACGTGTTAATGTGATAGCGCCATTTAAGGCAAAGATAAAATTTTGTCCGAGAATAAAATCATTAGATTTTACGTATTCTGGATTGATATTAACCTGTGTGATATCATATTTCATACTATATTTACCTGGAAAGTCTAGAAATTGAATACCTGCTGGTTCTAAGTAATGTGTGATAGTTATTAGTCTGTGTTTGATTGTTCTTGTCATTAATTTATATGATAACTATTTATGATATGGTTTTGGTGCTAGATGATAAGATATAACGCTTTTAGTTGCTCCTGTATCTACTAATGCTGTTAAATCTAAAAGTTTATTATTATTATCTAACTATAATATACATTGTAGGTTTATCATGTTGGGTGATCCATCTGTCTGTATTAATATATGTTCATTTGCTATTTGAGACATTTGGTTTATTTCATTTACTTCATTTTCCTCAATATTGATCTTTTTCTTTTTATCTAATACCTCCTCTAAATTACATACTTTATTTTCTAAAGTTTGTATTTTTAATTTATGTAATTTATCTATTATTTCTAATTTTTCTATCTTTTCCGATTGTAACCCGATTTTTACTTCTTTATTTTCTTCTTCTGTTTTTTCTTTATTTATTTCTAAATTATATAGCTTTTTAAGGCATATGTAACAGATTTTTGTGAAACATATATTACATTGTGATCTTTTTTCTATACTAGGGTAATATCCACAATTATAACATTTTATATAGTTATTTTCTCGTTTTTTTATCCAATTATGTTGACATTCTTCTTGTTCTGTATTTACGTATGTATATGTTATTTTGGTTAAATGTTTGTCATTATCACTATCACTATATATACTGTATATTGATTCATTATCAGAATTATCAGAATTTAGAGGTTCTATATTATATTCTCCTATTTGTTCTATTAAATTGCTTTTTTTTTTTTTTTATATTTTTATTTTTGTATGGGCATTTATTAGCTAAATGTTTAATATCACCACAAATAAAACATTTACAATTTCTTGTTTGTGGCCTTTTTACATATTTATTTTTATAGTATGGTTTATTTCCTTTTTTATATGATGTGCTTTTTCGTAGTTTCTTTTTTCTTTCAAAATGTCAATATGCTTGAGGTGTATAAATTGCTGATTTACAAAAGGCATAAGTATTTTTCTTTAATTGTTCTTGTAAAGCTACTTCTTTACATTTATCTTCTAATACAACGAATGTAAATGTGATCCTAGGTCCTATTCCTAGGTTTTTCTATTCTCCATATTGTTATTTCCATGTTTCATGTATATATCTTCCTAGGTCTCTTGGAAGTTTTATAAAATATTTATCACATAACTTATTATCCATTGCTTGCCCAGTTTGTGATAATAATCTAATAAAATCTAATGTGAATTCATTAATATATTTCATATATATATATATATATATATATATATATATATATATATATATATATATATATATATATATATATATATATGCTATACTTAGTTGTTGACGATTTCTAATAGTTGTATCTTCTATTAATGTATTATTTTTTGGAGGGTCTAGCCCTAAAATTAATGTTCTTATTTGACTAGTAAAATTATATGGGTTATCACCTAAGGCTTTTAATTTATTAATTTCATCTGGATCTTGTGCTTTTTTACTTTGCCAAATACCCAAAGCTATTGGGCCTAATATTGTTTCTAAATAAGCAAACA